GCTTCTGCAGATGGGACAGTGCTGGATCGAGAGAGGACTAAGGTAAGTGTTTGGGGAGGGGGGGCTTCTTTACCTTTAATGCAGGGAAATGATCTTGACTTTAGAACCACTTTAAATTCTTGTTGTCCATTCGTGTTCACTTGATGGCTAGTCTTCTGACAAATCTTCCTCTGTAGGAGCTGTCAAAAAGTTTTGTTTATGAATAATTACCTTGAGTACATTTTTGAGATTCTCTTCTCTTCTGATGTCTAGGTCAGTAGCACGACCTGCGCTTGGGGCCCATCAGGTCATGCAGTAACTATGACAGTTACCTAAAACAAAAACCTTTGTCGTGACTGGGTGTAATACGCTTTTAATGCCCTCAGCACTAAAGCAGCTCCGAAAACTTTGAAAGCCCCAGAGTACACTGTAACTTTAAAGTGACACTAATTGCTATCCTTTATTCTCCTAATATGATCCATACACATCAACTTTCTAATGGCCCCGCAATTGTTTTAAAAGCAAACTTCAGGCACATAGAAGTGGGGTGATCTTACTGTTTTTTTTAATGTCAGGGGCCTAGCAGGCAGATGCCCTTATTAATTCAGTAGTATTAACCTCCCTGGTGGTATTCCCGAGTGTAGCTCGGGGTAAAGTTTCAGTACCAAACGCGGTAACCCTGAGCTACACTCGGGAATACCCTGCGGCGCTGCATAGGGAGTCCCTGCAGAGCTTACCTTGTCCTTCGCTCCCGCGATGTGTCCCTGCAGCGTCCCCGGCCATCTCCTCCGGCTGATGCCGGCATCCGGCTTCTGTGTTCCGGTCCCTGTGACGTCGGGACGTACGGGCGACGGTGGCGGCGGGAAATTTGAAAATTTAAAAAAAATGTCATTTTTTTCAAAACGAATTTTACATAGTAAAACATTGCTGTTTCAAACCATTTCACATACATTTTGTCCCGAGTGCTTTGTCCTGTCCCCTGTCTGCATTTTGACTGTTCTTTCTGCCTGGAAACTTAGAAAAGTCCATGGCGTCCAAAAAGCGTCCCTTTAGGTCAAAAGCGGGTTTAGATCAGCTAGAGAACAGCGATAGTAAATCAGAACCACTTGCAGAATTGAGTGATAATGATTCGTGGGGGAAATTCCTCATCAGACACTGAAAACGATTTTGTGACTTTGCTCAGTGATGTGCGAACTTGGCGCTGTATTTCAAATTTCACTGTTTTTGGTTTGATTATATTATTGAATTAAATGTATTATTATTATATTATTATTTTTTATGATTATTTATTCAATTATAATTTATGATTTTGTGTTTCAAATTTTATCATACCCGGGATGTTTACTATACACTTGTTCGGACAGATTTCAGTGAGTTATTCCTAAATATTACAGCCTGCAATATAAAAACTACATATTTCCATGCAAAATAATGGTACCGCTTTCAGCACCAAAAATCTGAAATAATCAGACCGCTAGGGAGGTTAAAGACACAATATTCTCTTCTTTCAGAGGTCAGAGTAGTAGACAGTGGTGTATGTAGGTTTTGTGCTGCCCTAGGCAACAGAAAAAATGGCACCCCCCCCCCCCCCCACAGAGAAAGAGCCTGACATTGACCAAGAACACCCCTGCCCTCCACCCGAGCCTTCCACTACCACTGACCCCATACACCGGCCACCATCCCCCATGGTGAGGGAGAGAAAGACACTCACCTTCACAGTTTCGGACATCCCTAGGATGGGCTGGGCATACACCATCATGAAACCCGCAGCATCTCTCGAGCCCACCAGGTCCCCATGCAGCGTGTGTCCCTTCTTCCATTCCTTCTTCCGAGAGGCAGTGCTGCTCCCTCCTGAAAAATGCCACCCTAGGCAAATGCCTTGTTTGCCTTGTGGTAAATATACCCCTGGTAGTAGACAGATGGTCTCAATCTAGAATCTGAACAGATTGAAGAAATTAGCACCTACTGTACATGCCAATACGTTGTGTACAGATGATGGTGGGTAACTGTCACCTCTCCACAGCCCAGTGAGGGGGGGGGGAGGGGTCCGTGCCCATTGAGGCTCCTTACTGTCCAAAAATGTTTGTCTTTCTATTAGATCAGATGAATTATGTTTCATCGCTAATGAAATCCAAATTATTAGTCACAGAAGGATTAAACTGATTCCTTCTGATAATACACATTTTGATCTATGTGAACATATAAACCATTGAATGGAATTACCTGGAAACCAATAAAACAGTTGTGTGGGGCCTTTTGGCGACAACCATGTGGTGTGAGGATTTGTTGCAACCAGGCTGAGGTGCTAGACATCAAATCCTTGACCCTGTGAATTGAACTGGTGGGTTCATGACCACTTCAGGAGGCCAGAACAATCCACAGGGCTGAGGAGGGAACACCCTCAAGAGGTGATTGACCCGGTGATTCCAGCCCACACCCATAACTCCATACCTCATTAAATTGAGACGCACGAGAAATTCATTTTTTAACTCACTTGGAGCATATTCTGAACATGATGGAATGCTGGAACTTCGGTGTACTCCCACCAGCAGAATAAACCATACTGACCAAAATGATAAAACTTTATTTCTGTATTTTCTACCCTTTTAATTCATACCAGATAGTCAAAACTTTGTATGCCTTGTGCCTTTTTTTTATTTTTGCACATATTTTTATTACATTCACAATTTTTATTTCATACAAGACATTAGAGCGACTCCATATACAACTATGGTAAAGAGGTAGAACATACATCATGGGCATTACAGTGAGGTACAAACAAAGTTACTCCATGCTCATAGCCATGTGGGGGTTATGTCAACATGTTGCATATATTTTTATGCACTGCCCACATTGGGATATTAAATTACGCACTGTTTAACAGTTGTTACCTATGTCCAGACAGGGGAACTGTCAGGGAGCGAGGAGCCAGACACACAAGGAGGTGCAATTAAAGGTAGGTTTATTTACACAGAAACAAGGCAAGAGTCTATGCAAGTCCGACAGCAACAGTGGATGACTTGGTAAGACAGAAGTTCTCCCGCCGAGGTCGTCTTCCAGGATAATCAAGTCGAGAACCAGCGTGAATCGTAGCCAGAAGCCAGGAAGAATGATCGCCAGAGCCGGGGTCAGAAGCCAGGAAGAATGGTCGCCAGAGCCGGGGTCAGAAGCCAGGAAGAATGGTCGCCAGAGCCGGGGTCAGGAGCCAGGAAGAATGGTCGCCAGAGCCGGGGTCAGGAGCCAGGAAGAATGGTCGCCAGAGCCGGGGTCAGGAGCCAGGAAGAATGGTCGCCAGAGCCGGGGTCAGAAGCCAGGAAGAATGGTCGCCAGAGCCGGGGTCAGAAGCCAGGAAGAATGGTCGCCAGAGCCGGGGTCAGAAGCCAGGAAGGATGGTCGCCAGAGCCGGGGTCAGAAGCCAGGAAGGATGGTCGCCAGAGCCGGGGTCAGAAGCCAGGAAGGATGGTCGCCAGAGCCGGGGTCAGAAGCCAGGAAGGATGGTCGCCAGAGCCGGGGTCAGAAGCCAGGAAGGATGGTCGCCAGAGCCGGGGTCAGGAGCCAGGAAGAATGGTCGCCAGAGCCGGGGTCAGGAGCCAGGAAGAATGGTCGCCAGAGCCGGGGTCAGGAGCCAGGAAGAATGGTCGCCAGAGCCGGGGTCAGAAGCCAGGAAGAATGGTCGCCAGAGCCGGGGTCAGAAGCCAGGAAGAATGGTCGCCAGAGCCGGGGTCAGAAGCCAGGAAGGATGGTCGCCAGAGCCGGGGTCAGAAGCCAGGAAGGATGGTCGCCAGAGCCGGGGTCAGAAGCCAGGAAGGATGGTCGCCAGAGCCGGGGTCAGAAGCCAGGAAGGATGGTCGCCAGAGCCGGGGTCAGAAGCCAGGAAGGATGGTCGCCAGAGCCGGGGTCAGAAGCCAGGAAGGATGGTCGCCAGAGCCGGGGTCAGAAGCCAGGAAGGATGGTCGCCAGAGCCGGGGTCAGAAGCCAGGAAGGATGGTCGCCAGAGCCAGGGTCAGAAGCCAGGAAGGATGGTCGCCAGAGCCGGGGTCAGAAGCCAGGAAGTGTCAGGGCTCCCAGGTGTGACCAGAGGTGTGTGACTGACGCAGGGAAACGCAGACTTCAGATATGTGATAAACAATATAATTTATTAACACTAACCATACAAACATAAACGCAGTGCAATACTAAAACATAACACAGTGCAAACAAACCAAACCAACCACCCACAGATAACAGTACATACAAGCAAGCGTCGTCAGGCAGGCCGGGTCAATATCAATAGGGCAGGTAGGTACAGGGGGAGCAAGCGGAGATGGGTCGGGGTCACAGGCCAGGTTCAGCAGGTAGCTAGCAGCGTAGTACAGAGGGTCAGGCAGAGGGATGGTCAGGGTCACAAGCCAGGGATCAGAACAGGTAGCAAGCAGCGTGGTACAGAGGGTCAGGCAGAGGGATGGTCAGGGTCACAAGCCAGGGATCAGAACAGGTAGCAAGCAGCGTGGTACAGAGGGTCAGGCAGAGGGATGGTCAGGGTCACAAGCCAGGGATCAGAACAGGTAGCAAGCAGCGTGGTACAGAGGGTCAGGCAGAGGGATGGTCAGGAGCGAGCCGGGATCAGAGCAGGAGAAGTCAGCAGCGGTTCAGATCAGGCAGGGTCAGCAAATGAACAGAAACAGGATGCAGGACAGATACAGGGCCCAGGACAAACACAACACCAAGGCAGAGTCTGCAAGTCTGGCCATCCCTTAAATACACCAGTATCATCAGTTCCAGGTGTTAGCTGGCTGAAAGATTGAGTCTCTGATTGCTGGGAGCACCCGCTGGCCAGCCCTGGTACTGCAGATCAAAAGGCAGGTGAGTCCCACCATTGCTGGCCAGTCCATTCCTGACAGTACCCCCCCCTCAAGGAGCGGCCTCAGGATGCTCAAAACAGTCCTAGCTGGGCAAAATGTTCCACCGCCTGGGTCTGGTAACTGGCGGGATATCAAAGACTGGCACACCGGGCAGGACTCCGGGCAGCGGCACACCGGGCTGGACTCCGGGCAGAGGCACATCGGGCTGGACTCCGGGCAGAGGCACATCGGGCTGGACTCCGGGCAGAGGCACATCGGGCAGAGGCACACCGGGCAGAGGCACATCGGGCTGGACTCCGGGCAGAGGCACATCGGGCTGGACTCCGGGCAGAGGCACATCGGGCTGGACTCCGGGCAGAGGCACATCGGGCAGGACTCCGGGCAGAGGCACATCGGGCAGGACTCCGGGCAGAGGCACATCGGGCAGGACTCCGGGCAGAGGCACATCGGATTACCAGGCGAAGCAGCAGGCAGCGGGCCACCAGGCGGAGCAGCGGGCACCGGGCCCCCGGGCGGGGCGACAGGCACCGGGCCCCCGGGCGGGGGTGACAGGCATCGGGTCCCCAGGCGGGGCGACCGGCATCGGGCCCCCAGGCGGGGCGACAGGCATCGGGCCCCCAGGCGGAGCGGCGGGCGCCGGGCCCCCAGGCGGGGCGACAGGCATCGGGCCCCCAGGCGGGGCGACCGGCATCGGGTCCCCAGGCGGGGCAACAGGCATCAGGCCCCCAGGCGGGGCGACAGGCATCGGGCCCCCCAGGCGGGGCGACCGGCATCAGGTCCCCAGGCGGGGCGATCCGGCATCGGGCCCCTAGGC